CTCCAAATGACAAAGAAAACAAAAGACTAAAATGCCCCTTGGGCTACAATAGCGACTAAATACCCATAAGGGCAAAAACGGAAACACATAAAAATCAAATAAACTATTACATAAAATGACTCAAAATAAAACTCATGATCGTGGCCGTCGATCTCCGGCGTCTCCTGATGGTACATGTGTCGAAATCTCTGACGATGTCCTCATCAACAACTCAGAAATACAATGCTCAATCGTGGTCGTAGATCGGCGACCACGTCTTTGATACTCTCCACGATCTGATGTCCCAATCAGTAACCTAATAGATGTAACACAACTAAAACTAATGCCTGTTGGCTTTGTTGTGAGAATGGAAACTTATTAGCTTAACCCAACACATATGCTGCCATAATGGTGGATGACTATTGGTTTTGTCATTATCATCATTAGCCTTCTGCTGACTAATTGTGGTCGGCATTATGAGTCCTCATTCTTCATTTGTTTCAGTGGAATTTTTTATGAAGTTTGAAACCTATTCACATTATTTAATCATTCTTGCTATTTATGGAGCATTCATTTGCTTTCTTCTCACTCTATATGTTATGCTTTTTGTGTTGTTTTGAGTGTCTTCCAATTGGAATTATGTAGGTGGGTGAACGAAGGATGTTGTGATGTGGTGACTTGTTTAAGATGTACACCCTGTATGGTATTTGTACTTGCATATTTACTTCCATCACTTTTGAAAATGCTTAAGATGTGGAAGTGGGCCATTGTGCTCAATAGAGTCATCATGCTTGAATTCTGTGCAAACGTGTCTCACATTAATTGAAAAACTTTTTTTTATTGACTTGCTCTAGGTACCAAGGTATTTCTTTAGTTAGTTTCTGAATTTTAAGTTTTTTAGTTCTCTATATATTTTTAACCTAAATTCTGTTGCCTTTTATCTCTGGTAAATTTATGTCCTAAAGTAGTTAAAACAATAATTAAGCGATATTTTCTAAAGATATTTATAAGAAAATAAAGTTGTCATTGTATTTTTATAACTAAGAATAAAGTTTATTATGCAGACAGGTCATAATGGTGTAAATCATTGTTGTAATTTTGAATTGTGGTGTTTTATGGCAGTATTTTAATTTGCATTATTTGAAATTATTTAAATTAAGATAGTGTCTCTCCCTTTATAAAAAAAAGAATTATCTTGGTGCTAATTTTCTTGTTTTGCAGTTTAAGATGAAACCGGAGTTGCATTATGCTGAAGTCGATTGTCCAGTCAGTGCTCCAGAGGACTTCCCTAAAGATGTTGATCTTCATTTTGAGATTGAAATTTTAGATTTCTTTAAAGCGAAGGCAAGATTGTTTGGCCGTATGTTCTGTTCTTCTATAAGAGTTGCTTCAAGCTCATTTTTATTTTTAATTTTTTGGCTTCTACTTAACATAATCATTAATGTTTAGTCCATAATACCTTCACCTTGTCATAATTGCAAAATAGTTTTACTTGATTCTCACCAAAGAGCTGTTTTTATTAGTGGGCTCCATCTGCTAGCTAATGCGGTGGGAAATGCGCCATCAAAAGCTGCATTGGGCTGTACTTTTTTGGTGCTGCTTTGGACAGTTTATTTTTTCCAATTCCGGCATGCCATGTTTAGCAGCTGTTTCAGCACTGTAGCTTTTGACAGAAATCACATATTTCAACTAGGCTAAAGTAAACTCTAGGATGCCATTATCACATGAGCATTTGCTTTTATTTACGTGCATAGACATGTGTGCATTTGCTCTTTTTTTCTTTTTGGGTTTTTGTATTTTATATGCACGAAGGCAAATGGCCCAAAATTGAAATGGTGAGATTCAAGTCACTCGTTTTGAAAAAGTGCACATATTTTAAGTAGAGTCTAAAATTTGTTTTTTTTCATCTGGCATTTTTACCGAAAAGGTTGGAGTAGCTCCAGTAGAAGATAAGATTAGAGAAAGTCGCCTTAGATGGTTTGGTCACATAAAACGGCGGCCTTGCGATGACCCGGTTAGGAGAGTAGAGGTATTAGATTTGACTTATGTTAAGAAAGGTAGGGGTAGACCTAAAAAGACTTGGTTAGAAAATATTAGGAATGACCTTTCTTTATTAGATTTAAACGAGAATTTGACTTTTAATAGGACACAATGGAGAAAAAGGATTCATGTAGCCGACCCCACGTAGTGGGATAAAGGCTTGATGTTGTTGTTGGCTTTTTTACCATTGCTTATGATACTGACATCTGTTCGATAACAGAAATTGCAAACTGCTCTAATAAAAACATAAAAAACTAGTCCAAGTAGCATAAATTTGAGACCACCATTCAAGAAATAACCTTTTACAAATTAGAATCCACAAATCAATATTAAATCTTTCGTAAATTTTTAATATAATAAGAATAAAAATAACATCTGTGTATTTAAGGTTGCGGCAGAGTTGAGTCATGATTTAGTTGAGGGGCTTCAGTTCGACATAAGATCTAAAGCCTGAAGTCAAAGTTGAGCTCGTAAAGGAAGCACCAAATTTGTACCTTGCTTATCTTTAAGGTTTTATCAGAAGTTTACTAACGTATTATCTTATATCTGTGTGATATTGAGTATCTGTTTATATAGGTGCTTTATTTCGTGTTGTGATGCTTTTGAAGCCTTAAATATCATATCTGGAATACTTAACATGCATTTTGATTTTCATGGTTTTTTCTGCTTATTACTGTAATCACTTGGTAATAGAGCCAATTAATTTGTTATCATGTTGTTTTGGTAAAAAGAAAACTAGAATGTCCTATGATGATGAGTTGATGGGGACATCGACAAGAGATTTCGACGCGTTTATCAGAGACGACACAGGAGATCGATGACCATGATGGAGAGTCTTTACTTTTGATGCATTTTCTGTATTAGCATTTTATGTATTATTCATGTTAGTTCAGTTTTTCTGTTTTTGCCCTTATGGGTAGTTGATCGTTATTGTAGCCCAAAGGGGCATTCTAGTCTTTTGTTTTCTTTGTCATTTTAGAGGCTTATATATATGGCCATCTTCTTATGTATGAGGTTGATTATTGATGAATGAAAAGTTATTTTGTTGTTCTCTTTGTGAGTTCCAAAACTCCTCTTGATCTCTTTGTGAGTTCTTGAGGAGAGAGCGTTTTAGATCTCTTTGTGAGTTATAGTGGAGAAAGAGTTGAGGTTTGTGTGCTTTGAATTTCCTTTTCCCTCTTCCCAAGATTTGTGGCATTCTCCCCTTGATTTTCCCCTCACAATTCCCTCCCCCAAAACCCCATCCTGCCGACCCTCCCCACATACCCGGCTGCACCCCCCCCCCAAAAAAAAAAAAAACCCCATCCCGCTGCCCCTCCCCACCTACCCGCCGGCCCCTCTTGGGTCAAGGATTTGAATTTCAAATTTCCCATGAGACCTTTCCTACTTTCCTAAAATAACTCTTTAATTTTAGGCTATCATATTAATTGGATTTCAATTTGAATTTGAAATTCAAATTAATCCTAATTGATAGCCCTCATATTAGGAAACTTTCCTATTATCAAAATTTGAAATTTATTTCAGATTTTCTTCAAATCCTTGTTTAGTCATGTGGGCCCCACCTATTTAATTTTAATTCCTCTTCTCCCTCTCCATGCTTGGCTGGACCCCCCTTCCTTGGCTTTCTCTCTCCCGAATTAATTCCCAATCTCCACAAAATCAGCCCCAAAACCCTCTCCCATTACCGTCCCATCCTTCCCTTTTTGGGATTAATTTGAAAATTTCAAATTAATTCCCTCCTACTCACCTAAACCGGAAATAATTTCAGATTTCCTGAATTTATTTCCTAGTCTCCCCACTATAGTTGGCCCTCTCAAGCTCTCACGCCGAACCAATCCTCTTCCTCTCCAAGCCGCCACCACATCTCTTCTTCTCCTCTTTGTTTTGTCGAGCTCCACCAAGAGAAGACTATTCTACCATCAAACTCATCCGCAAGAGCATTTCATAGCATGAATGGCGGATCCCGAAGTTGACCACGGATTCATGTTCGACGTTTACGGAGACATCCACATCGTTCGATCACCATTCTTCGACGTCGGGTTTGGTTTTGACGACACCGTTGAAGATTACTTGAACCGAATCCTCCCCACCCTCGTGGACGTCATCGACGATCAATTCTCGGACTACGAGTGGACCATCAACGGTCATCCACTCGTGCCACCTCCACCTCCGACTACCTTCCCAACAACGGCGTTCCTCGGCTCATTCATCCTAGTGGCTACCTCATTTCTAGTGTGGACGATCTTCCTCCGCTCAACCTAGATTCGTAGGGAAGAGAGTAGATCCTCAAGGTGAACAACTCCGTATTAACTTTTGGATTTGTGTGTTAAGCTCTTACATTACTTCACCTTGTATTTGATTAAATTATCTTGGTTAATCTTCATACAACTCTTTGCCTAAGCAAGTGGAATACTAAGAATTCTTGTAACTAACTTGGAATTGACGCATAATTTTATAAAGGTTAAACTTTTAGTAAATTCTATTTATGATCTTGTGTAACTCCAAGCTTGTATCACATCATGAGTTCAACTAAATAAGCTCGAATTCACGGTATTAGTGAGTGTACCGTTTAAGTATTATTCACATCTTGAACTGCTTAGCGTGGAACGCTACCATTTTCAACCCTTAAATTCTGCCATATGTTCAAATTCATTTCTGCTTGGAAACCTGGAACCTATGGTCTATACTTCAGTTTTCTAGTCTGTACTTTTCCCTTGCAGACAAGCAGAAGTATCCAAAAATATGCATTTAACTTTAAATTCATTGTTGTTTTTATGTTTTAATCTGGAATCATAGTCATGGAGGGCCAAGTTTCATTTTGAAATTTGTAGGAAGCAAGTATGTTATGCTTTTATGGGTATTTTAGAATACTATCATAATCCATTCTTCTTATTTATGTTTTTCCATCAAAGGACTGCACGTGTTTTTCTTCTATTTTTCTTCTTGTGAATTAATATTTACTCTTTTTGTTTGCCAGATTATCAGCGAGGACATGGGAGTAGTGAAGAAGGTATTGGAAGCAATTTTGAAGTCATAAAAACATTTTTTTCAGCCTGATTTATTTTAATGCATTTTTTTGTTTTAATTAAGAATATAATCATCCATTCATTTGACATTGTTTAGGGTTTTTAGCTCAGTTTGCCTCAAAACTTTTACTTTAGTTATCTTTTATGCTTGTGATGCCTACCCCAAATAGCTGTTATAATTGATAAGTAATGATGATGATGAGAAATATTCTAAGATTTTAGTAAAATCCATATTTTATGCCATTTTAATCCTCAAGGTTTCTTCTAGTTGGGGTTTATACTAAACAAGAGAGATCAAGTTAGTTTGCATCTCTCTTTAAGAATGTACCTGATTCCTTCAAGATTCCAATTTGTCTATTCCTCAAGTCTTCTATGTGCTTAATCAGCTACGAAAAGCTTGGGAACCAACGTCCAGCAGTCGATTTTCTTACATAATTGTTCATTATGATACTGAAACATTACATTTAGTCGATCATTCTCTTATCAGATATATTTAGTGAGAAACTTGTTTATTTTATGTCATAGCATACTTTATTTTATTCTCATGTCGGATATATTTATAAAGCAACATATTTATTTTGTCATATCATACCATCGAAGAGGAGATGCTAGTGTTTTTTGTAACTCGCTTATGGATATTTTAGTTTTAATTGCCCATAAAGAGCTCAAGGATGGACGAATAAATGAATATATAAGGTCTCTTGCTGAGTTTCAACTTCTCCTTAGGATGATACATGCTACTTTTCTTCCTCCTATGGTTAGTGCTGAGGTGAACATCTGGTTCACAACTAGCCCCTGCACTCCAACAGTTGGTGCCAAGTGCCTTAACTCCCCTCTATTTACTATACTTCTCCTCAAAAAACCCGTTTAATTTTGTTGAGTACTTGATATTATTTTGCAATTAGAGTAAACTCTGATCCATGCTTTGCTTAGCATGTCCAAACCTTCCTAGTTATTATCCATGTCATGCAGAAAACAACCCCAAGTTCTCACAATTTTCCTGCTGGAATTTTTATGCCTGCTGAAAATCTGCTGTGCTTATACTTTTCTACTGCTCTTTTTAAATCCTTCTTATGATTGTTATTTCATTTTGTTTTTGTTGCTGCTTTAATCTGCATTTTTTCACTTCCACTTCCACTCCTGCTTCATCCTTCTCTTTCCCGTACTTTTCTACCATAAACCCCTAATTCAATCTCCAGCTTACACATGACCACTGCTATTTTAGTAGTATACTCAATTAGCCATCACAACTGGTCCTACTTCAAGGCCCTTAGGCCTTTATAAATTATCCCATCGTCAACTCATGTTGATGGGTTACAAAGATACATATACACAGAGCATGAAAAGCATTTATGAAGGAATACGAGGTTGGTGATTAAAAAAAAAAAAACGAGGTTGGTGATTGCAGTAAGGATCATTAAAGATTTTAGGCTCTTTCTTTTTTCTCTTTCTCTCTTCTTCTCACCCTCTGCAACTTATCTTTACTTATATTTCTTCTAGCACGATCTCTCCTTGTGTTTCTTCTCTTCTCCATCTCTTTGCTTCTCTTGAGTATCCTGCCTCCATACAATGGAGCTCATAGCTTATGAACTCTTGAATGCATGTGTTTTCCATTGCTCTTGGGAGAATGAGTTTTTGATTTCTTTGGTGTGATTTGTATTGAAGGCAACGACATTTTGCAAGTTCAGATCCTCCCAAGACTGCTTCCTCTTATTCTCTTCTGTCTCATTGGTAGAGGCCTTTATTTTAGCAACTACATACATTGACGCTGTTTTGATTATCTTACATCTCTCTTAAACTTTCTTGTTGCTCTACTCTATCCCAAGAGATACAATCTTATTTGTAGAGCTCCAAATAGCTTATTCTCGAGGCTTTAGACTAGCTCCTTGCTGCTTATACTCTTTAATTTTCCTCGTGCATTCTTAGGCGGGGACATCTCTGTTACGTCAGTGCATTCTTAGACGGGGACATCTCTGTTACGTGCAGGCCAAAATGACTTATGTTTGTAGTCGATCAAAATTGTTGGTGGTTGATGCATTCATGTTTTTAGTTTATTTTTGTTTTAATGTATTTTGAACAATGTTAGTTGTGTTTTATATTTTTTTTAAGCTATCCAATGATGGTTGGACATCCAATGATCATGGTAGGAAAGTGCTTGGGCATGGCAGGCCTTGGGTTTGCTTGCACTTGGGTCTGTTTTGTCCTTGGGCTGCTTGCTGTTATCGGTTTGGAGCTGTTTGCTGCTCTCGGGTGGGGCCTTGGCTGCTTGGTGATGAGCTTAAAAATTTGGATTCCACTTGGTGTTAGCTCATTAATGTTTGAGCTGAAGTTTAGCTCAATGATTGAGGGAATAAATGCACTTCCTAACTCATTAAATCAAAAATGTATGCTACTATATAAGCTCATTATTGTGGAGTGGACTTGTGTCTCTTCTCTTCCCCTTGTCTTTTCGGTTTCTGCTGGCTGTTGCTGTTCTCGTGGTCCTCCCTCTCGGTTTTACCCCATCCTAGCTATTTTCCCGTGATGTGTTGCCCTGTTTCCTGTGCTGGCTCTTCAGGTCCCTGGCTGGCTGGGCTTCCCGTGGCTTCTAGTTGGGTTTTCCGTGGCTCCTCTCCCTGTTTTCTATGCAGAATTTCTGTTGGCTGTTATGTGTCTTTTGGCCTTTCATTTCCCCAATTCTGATTGGATTTGGTTGGAGGTGTTATAGCTGTTTATCTTCTTTCTTTTGCCTATAAAATAGAGGTGTTTTGTAATGGAATAGGTTGTTGAAAATTTGAGCAAAGTCTCTACAAAACCCTGAGGGTTTTTTTTCTTGTAAAAGCTTGAGAGCTTGTTCCACTCCCTTTCCTCGTCTCTATTTCGTCTTGGCTTCTAACCTCTTCTTCTCTACGCAAGTTCCACTCAACCTGTATCCTTTTTCTTGAGCCTTTGGAAGTTGTTTGTTGGTTGAAATTTGGAGACATTTGCTGGAGGAGTTTGGTAGGACGTTGGATTATTTTGTAGTGGTGGACCCTCAGTTTGCAAGCCTAAGCACAATTTTAAAATATTTTCCTACTCTCGTTGCATGTGAGGAAACCACTAGACGGTTATACTGAGGATAACGTTTTTATGTTCTTATTTTATTTCGCTTGATTTTGCTTTTGTTTCTTCGAATGTTTGTTTGATTATTTGCAAGCTATAGTGAATCGAGTTTGGTTTTATTTTGTCCTGGTGTTCTCCAACTTGTCTTTTCTCTCTAGTTTGCTTGCATCAGGCTTGGTATCAGAGCGAGTTAGAATATCCTTAATTTTTGAGTCTTTTTTCTTTTGAGATAAAAAATTTCTAATAATCCGAGGGAATGACAAAATGTGATGCAACAATTAGCGGACTTGCAAAATCAGATGAATGAAATGGCTAATACCCTTGCTAATCTTAATGTTAATCAACAACATGTCCAAACATTTGAAAGCGAAGAAGAAGTCCCTAGGGACCAAAATAAGCGACAACGAAATTGGGATTTTGGGATTAAAATTGATTTTCACAACTCTGAGGGTAAATTACAACCTGATCTATTTCTCAAATGGCTTGAGAAAATGGATCAATTTTTCGATTGGAAAGAAATTCCTAAAAATAGAAAGGTAAAATTTGCAAGTTTAAAATTAAATGGTCATGCTCTTACGTGGTGGAAAAACTTACAAAATAATAGACTTAGGCGTGGGAAAGAAAAGATACAAAACTGGGAACGGATGAAAGAAAAGATGAGGGGAAAATTTTTATCATCTGATCACGCACGAACTCTATTTCAAGAATTCAATAATTTGCAACAAGGAACTCAATATGTGGAAGAATACACTGAACTATTTTACAAACTTCAATCAAAAAATGATTTAGATGAATCTGAAGAGAAAACTGTTTCAAGTTATATTAACAGTATTAAGTGGACAATTCAGAATCAATTAAATTTGCATCATGTAATAAAAGTTGACGAGGCATATCGAATGGTAATAAAACTTGAAAAGCAACATTAAAGAGAAAAGGGTCATAACAAGATAACAAAAACTTATAAACGTCGACCAACTGACGGGGTTAAGATTCAATCTCAAACTTTTGTGGGAACATCGGGTACTAAAGCTAAATCTTTTGAAAATCAAAATGCTAATAAAGCAAAGGGAATTATGGGATCTAAACCATCTGAACAACCTAGATTAATTGGACCATGCTACAAATGTGGGCTTTGTGACCATCTTTCTGTGGCCTGTAGAAAAAATAATTCACCTAGAAATAACTACATTGAAAACGACGAAGAAGTAGAGGAAGAAGAAGAAAATGAATTTGAAAATGAAAATGACATTGAAGTAGAGAAAGTTGATGTCGAGGAAGATGAAGGTGAAGAACTTCTGGTAATACGACAAGTTTTAAGAACAAAAATTAACAACGGTGATAGATGGCTTAGAAGAAACATTTTCAAAACAACTTGTACAATTGAGGGAAAATATGCACTCTTATGATAGATAGTGGAAGTTCAGGAAATTTTGTATCACAACTGATGTTGATAAGTTGAAATTAAAATCCAAACCGCTTGCTAAGCCATATAAAATCTCTTGATTTAAAGAGAGAGGTGAGGTTCCTATCATAAAGCAATGTGTTGTCAACTTAACAATTAGGAGGTCTTTTAATGATCATGTTACTTGTAATGTTGTGCCTCTTGAGGTCTGTCACATTCTGTTTGGTCAACGTTGGCAATTTGATAACAAAACTATTCACAATGTGGAAAAGAACACTTACTCTTTGATTCAAAACAACAAGGAATTCACTCTCTATCCTAAAAAACATTTGCCTGATTTGCTTGCTAAAAATAACAAAGTTGCTGATGCTTTAGGTCGGAGATCTCATTTGTTGGTAATTGTTTATCCAACTATTGCTTCTTTGTTTTTTTGAAAGATACTTATGCAAATGACCCTGATTTTAAAAACATTTGGGATTCTTGTCTTGCTTATGGAACTGA